CGTTTGATAATTCTTCAGTATTCCAATTTATCCTCGACCCAGTGTTAATTTCAAAGGTGCCAGTGCCTGATTGTATTTCTTTCCACTTTTGATTTTCCTGGATATCCTAGATTGAATTCGCCACTTGTCATTATTGCTCACAGCTGCAGTCCGCGCCAGGTGGGGCTGCAGCATGCGCAGAACTAAGAACTAGGCGGTCGCGATATGTCTGAGGCGAAAAGATTGGCGAAACATTTTTGTCAGACCAAGTAGGACCCACTTGCTAACTCCTGTGCTGCTTTATGATTATAATACCAAGATGGACAACAAGTTTCGAAAATCAGGAGCAGCACAACGACGTACCGAGTAGTCGGTAAAAAAATCGTAGGCTCGAAAGAATAACGTTATTTCCTATGAAGAGGACAGACAATCGCAAGACCCCAAATTAAAAATACTGCGAACAGATTTACCCCGTCTTACCCCCAGCTGTCACGTTGTTTTCGGCGCTAGCGGTGTGGAAATAAATACTGTTCCCGCTTGAAATCTACCAGCCAACTAGGAACCAAGAAATGCGTGATTCAAGCAGTCAGCACTGGCAGAGGTAAGTTCCGCGTTGCGTGTAGGAAACGTTCGTTCTTTGCCTGGTAAAGGTAAGTTAGATGACTTCTGTTGCGCAGCCTATCGGTTCAAACTCGATGCTCTCCTGGTCACGGAAGCTCCCCTCCTGGAGAAGGGTATGCTTGACCTACAGGATGGGTGATCATTTTTGTGTTAGCGCTACAGTCGATTACACCGTAGCGGTGTCGGTATCCTCTTGAGCCATAGAGTATGGATGGTGGTCATTTTGGTGAAATAATTGTCAGAAAGAATCATGGTCTGTCGCCTGAATGCCATTGTCACCTACACCTCGAAAAAGATGTCGAGAGAGCGAAAAACACGCTTTCTATCATAGCTTGAGTCGGCTGTTAGCGTTTAATCGCGTCACAACGTCACCTACAATCGTCACAGGTGACATCAACGCCACTGTATGGCGCCGAATATAGCACATGGCCAACGTACTCGACTATCAACGTATCGACAGCGCAAATTACAAATATACGCGTTTTTTAAGTTCTTGTGCCACACGGCATAAGCTTCGGGGGGGGGGCTGTTCCATTCATATTCATCAAATTACATGGACATCCCCGATGACACCCAGGGGGACAACGTAATCGATTGCAAATGGCACGACACATTGTTTGAGACTTGTGTCAAGCATGGCACCTGCATAGGGGCTGAGCACCATATGGTCGCAGCGAAACTTCGCCCAAAACTACCAGTCAGATCGACGCCGTCCGGTCCAAACATATATGTTGCTGGATGTTGATAGATTAAGCTATGACGAAGCGGCAAGGTAGACCGACCAAAAACGACGTTGAGAGTTTCGTCAGTTCCACGATTAACACCCAGTCGGGAACTGGCAAAGTCGATGAAGTTTACACGGATTTCAAAGAAGTCGCCATTTCCTCGGCGGAAAACGAAGTTTGGTCAAGGATAGAATAGCACTGAAGATCTTAGCCCATAGACGGCAAAGGAACCAGGCAAAGAAGGGGCATTTGCAACACCCTCCTGCACCCTCGAAGACAGTTCATCACTGTTTCGTTCATGCAGTCAGTCATAGCCACAGGAGCAGCAGGGGACATTATCCAGATGGGGAAGTCAGTAAAATTGAAAAGGCAGCCAGAAAGAGTGAGTGGCGAACATTGTTCAAGAGGTTGTAGCAATTGTCCGAATAGCAGGATATTTTCTGTTCCTTATCCAAGATACTAAGAATTGCCCGTTGGCAGGTCAGAAGAAACGACCTTCATAGGGAGGCTGAGCATTTCCAGCAGCTGCACAGCGACTACCCTTCTGATCCGTTATTTCCTATTTTTAACTCTCTGCCAGCAATAGGGGTACTACATATCCAACAACAAAACCAGAATTCCAAAACGCTATGCTACACGTCAAAGTGAAAAAGGCATGCAGGTGGATCGAAGGATCGAATTTCTCCGAAGCTAAGTAAGTATAGAATAGCTCCATGTCATGTTCAATCAAATGTGGACTTGAAGACGTTTCGTAGGAGAATTGGGGTATAGAGCAATTGTCTCGATATCTAACGGTGGTCAAGTGACCCCGTGTATCAATTATTGTAATATCACACCCCAGTAACTCCTGGTAAACTATTTCCTGAATTATCTTGGAAAGGCGGAGGCAGACAATTGATGGGAGTCTTTTCCCAAATCAAAACGGCTTCCGAATGGCGTGTTCCAAATTTTTACTCTGTCTAAAATAATTTAGCGATACCGAAGATTCCAGTTCCCCTAGCTTGCTAGTTTCTTCGACTTGGCTGCGCCTGATTCATTACATCGCCCGACGATATTGAAAATCTTGAAATACCATGAAATACTTCAATACATCATTTCTATATTGGAAGAGACGTATGCCACAGTTGTATCTGTTCTCAAATTTGAAAAATAAATTTCTGAGCGGTTCCCTGTTA